GCGATCTGTGGCTGTCCAACACTGCCGTGACGTATGGCGCTTCGCCCAGCTCTACCTACGAAATGTCAGTCACCCCCTAACTCCTACCTCGGTTTCAGAGGACTGACATTAGAATTCTTCGTAAGTATGATCTGGCTGAGCACACGCGGAGGGTGTGTCCTTGTGATCCGTTACGCATTATGGTTTAGAGCTCTGACCTAATCCATAGCGCCGGTCCTGCTGGGTCGCAAATCGGCACTGTCAAGCAAGTGCTTAATCACTCCGGCGTATTATCGCAAGAACACTCCGATCGCCAAAGTTTTGACGACTCCGAAATGACATTTTTGCCTTTCAGCATCAACGGCGTCAACTAGAAGCTGTTCAAAGGCGTCTTCTCGAGCTGGACTGTGTTCTCGTTCGTTGCTCCGTCCGAGATCACGTCGTACGAATCAGACTTGAAACCATTCTTCAGTACGCAGAGCTCAAAATCCCTGCGCTCGTATGATGCTGACGGGTTATAAATTGTTTGCACACAGCGTACCTCTCGTCCAGTCAGGGTGTATCCTCGTCGGAGTACCTTGTTCAAGCCCAGGCAGGCACAGAGCCCTTCACCGGTTGGTTCTTTCTTTTGATTGCTGCGTACGCTTCTAATCTACTCTGTCCGTTCGTCCTTCAGGAAGCGCCAAGCTCACCACCACGTCTTACTCAATCTCAATCAATTAAAGAGGACGCCCGTCCTATATATGCATATGTCCTTCAATTCGCATGTCCTTCATGTTATAAATCTATTCGATTGTTTTGTATGTGGGAGAACCCTAAGCATTTGAGCAGATTGAGTGGCCAGGCCTGGAAGGGATTGCTCAGGTCTACCGTCTGATTCGCGATATCTTTCCAGATGCGCAGCGGTTCTGGATTAGCGAAAACACATCGCTGCACTGACCACCCTACGGTGCTTAGACCTTTTCAGCGCCACATCACCCCTCTCCGCATCACTCGCGTATACGGCGTTGCCCCGCACTGCTATGAACTTGTATTCTGGGGTAGATATGGCGGCTCAGTGAAATTTATTGTACTCAGTCTCCTGCCAATCACCCTTTCCGCCGGCAAGGCAGCGGCCATCTATAAGGTCAACTCTGGGAAGATCACGGACCACGGTGCACTTGCATCCCTGCCGTTCCTCAATAAGCTCCCCTCGAAGACAGTGATTTTTGTCCTCCCTCAGGGCGGAGCGGCGGGTCAGAGTGTCACCCAGAGGTTTGGCTAGTATATATATATACGGTAGCATTGGTACAGCTTAGATCAGATGCACACCACCAGATAATCTAACGAAAAGAACTTAATCGTAACTCGTAGCACAGGCTACGGAATAAGAAAAACGCTCAACCTTAAAAAAGGTATCCGACCTGCCTGGCTCGAACAGGCGACCTCAAGATTATGATAACCATTACAGTCTCGCGCTCTTCCAACTGAGCTAAGGTCGGTTATTACTTCGCAAAGTCACAGCAAATTTATCCTACTCAGTGGACATCCCGCTTAGACAAGCTTCATCTTCTGAACGAATTTACATAATACATATATGGGTGCGTAATATTAGAGGTAAAGAGTGCATCTCAGACTAACTCGATTCAAGTGATAGCACACTCACAACGGTACGTTACTCTAAAGTGGGCGATTACAGCAAGCCGCGTTGGCGTAGTGGTAGCGCGTCTCACTTGTACGTTTAGATGCAATGAGAAGGTCATTCGTTCAATCCGGGTACGTGGCAGGCCCCGCAAGGAGCTCTTTTTGCTTCAGATATCCATTTCCCTGACAGTTAATTTCCCAGAGATCTGACTCGATACCTCTATCTTCGAGACTAAAGTACTAAAGGCTTACTGCGAACATTTCTCATAATTTCCTCACTGATCTGGGGGACCAAGTCGAAATTTCATTTCTACCAGTTTAATCAACACCTCGACTTGTGAATCATGGCCAGCCGGGCGCGTCATGGACCTCCGTGCACCATCGTGATCAAGCTCGGTACGCGATTACACCGTAGAGCATGTGCTGAACTCACGGAATCATAGGAACATCCTCTATCGTGCATGAAACGACACACCAGCCATTGCTTTCGACGCTCTCATCCGTGGTAGAGACTGTGGTACACCTCCGATCGCAAGGGCACAAGGTTGTTCTGGTGAGCTCAGGCGCTATTGGCGTGGGCCTCAAGCGCATGGATATGCCTAGCCGGCCAAAGAGTCTTTCCGGGAAGCAGGTGCGTACTATTTCTACCATTTATTTTATCATTACAGGTACTGATAATTTTCTACAGGCGCTCGCTGCGATTGGCCAAGGGCGCCTGATCGCGCTATGGGATAACCTCTTTGGTCAGCTGGGACAACCGATCGCGCAAGTATTGCTGACGCGCGGTGACATATCGGATGTGTGTCGATGCTCAGGCTGTCTGGTGCGCGCTAATTGATGATCGTGACCCCACCAGCGCACGCGATATCTGAACGCGGTCAACACGTTCAAGGAGCTGCTCTCGATGGGTGTAGTCCCCGTAGTGAACGAGAACGATACAGTGTCTGTCAGCGTACGTCGCCTTCTGTTTCGAACGCGACTGCAGCTAAGGTATATGTAGGAAATTAAATTTGGCGATAACGATACACTGTCTGCAATCACGTCGTCTATGATACATGCAGACTATCTATTCCTGCTGACCGATGTTGATGGGCTGTATACTTCGAACCCACGGAAAGACCCCAACGCGCGACACATAGAAGTGGTTGACTCGATAGCGGCCATCCGCTCCAAAGGTGTGGAGGATGGTCCTCGTTTGAATCTACCTAATTTCTCGCAGTCAGTACGACAACGCTCGGCTCGAGCCTCGGGACGGGGGGGATGGAAACCAAAATCATCGCGGCCGAAATCGCCACCGCCGCAGGCGTCACCACCGTCATCCTCTCCAGCAAAAAGCCCGAAAATGTGTTCAACATCATCCAGTATTACCACGACGTCACAGCGGCTCAGGCTGACTCCCGTCCCGCGAGCGCCAACCCCAGCCGCAGCACCTCCCCCGTACCAGTGGTGCGCCCGCCGCACACGCTGTTCACCGCGTCCGCGACGCCAATGCGTGACCTCAAGTCGTGGACGACACACACGCTGTTCCCGTCAGGCAGTGTGATCATTGACACGGGTGCGCACCACGTCCTCTCGCGCCGCGAGTCTGGGGGACGGCTCCTCGCCGCAGGCGTCATCGGCGTCATCGGCGCATTTGCGTCAGGCCAGGCAGTGCGTATCGTCATCCGAAGACAACCTACCGATGGAAGTGACGCGCCCGGGGATGCGGAGAAAGCTGTCAGTGTGTATGCGAGTGGCCTGGGAAATACGAGGCCGACTACGCCCACACTACATGCGGTGTCGTCACTGTCCTCGTCGGTCACGTCGCTCGAGCCGCTGACCAGATCGGCTTCGTCGAGCGCGCTAGCGGAAAGCATGAAACTTATTCAATCATCTGACGATGAGTTGAGTGAGGCGGACGTGGTAGAGGTGGGCCGGGGACTTGCGAACTACAATTCTTCGCAGATACTGCGCGTCAAGGGGTTAAATAGGTGTGTCCCTTCCAATCGCCGGTGATATTGGCATTGACAACTGGTCAGCGCGTACTTGTCGGAGGTATTGGGCTACGCAGATTCCGAATATGTTGTGGAAAATATCTCCATACGCGTGCCGCCGTCGTAACAGCGTGCTGTGCAGATCAATGGAAATACATAAAACTCGAAGGCGGGTATCACAGCTAGTCTCGAGTCGCTGGCCACTGATTTTTTCCCCCTTTTACAGGTGCTTCAAATGAGTGAATTCTTTCCCCGCAGTGGGTTAGATGGAGATTAGAGGAACGTTCGTTCATACAGCGACGTAACAGCGTCTAGTTAATCAGGGTTGTCAGTGAGTCGCAGGGTGGCTGTGTAAAATATCTAGACCAAACAATCAAGATAATTTTTTCTTTACTTTCCATCACAACATCCACTTATCCTCAGCTACACCCTCCTCGATCCATGCAATAGCTTAGAAGTTCTATTAACACTCAAAATGTACCACAACAATTCTATCAGGATCCTCGCGGGTTAGTTTTTCCATTGATTCTTTTGTAGATCATCGTTAACCCCGTTGTTCTGCAGGGAATAGCCACCCCGAGCTCGCCCAAGCCGTGGCCGAGCGGTGAGCGGCCTCTCCATGGGTTGCAGCTAAAACAGTCCATGGACTAGTGACCTGTTCACATCCCAGGCTCAACGTGCCCCTTGTCCCAGTGACCGTCAAGAAGTTCTCGAATGGCGAAATCAACGTGAAAATTTCCGAGTCCGTCCGAGACGAGGACGTGTTCATCATCCAGTCTGGTTGCAGCGACGTGAACGACAACTTCATGGAGCTACTCATCCTCATCTCTGCGTGCAAGACTGCCTCAGCCCGCCGGATCACCGCCGTCATCCCCTGTTTCCCCTACGCCAGGATGGACAAGAAGGACAAGTCTCGCGCGCCTATCACCGCCAAGCTCGTAGCGAACATGCTCACCGTTGCAGGCTGCGACCACGTCATTACGATGGACCTTCACGCCAGCCAAATCCAGGGCTTTTTCGACATCCCTGTCGACAACCTGTTCTCTGAGCCTCTTATGATTTCATATATCAAGCGGGCCATCCCTGGCTGGCGCGACAGCATCATCGTCAGCCCAGATGCAGGCGGTGCCAAGAGGTGAGCACAGCAACCCGTTTACGTCTCACTGGTTGCACGTTCGTCGCCGTTCGAGCTATTCTTACATCGTTTTTTTCCCCTTTCTCCCCGATAGGGTAACGGCGATTGCTGACAAACTCGGCGTGGAATTTGCCTTGATCCACCGAGGACGGGACGGCAAATCACAGTCGGCGCCGGAAAGAATGGATATCCTTGTTGGAGACGTCAAAGACAAGGTAGGCGCCGAGCCCGTCCATTGCACCCACACTCATCGTGCTCACCATACTCTCGTAGATTGCGATTCTCGTCGACGACATGATCGACACCGGGAAAACGCTTACACTCGCAGCAAGGACGCTGCATGAAAAGGGCGCAAAATCTGTCCACGCACTCATATCACATGGTGCGTCTATCTGTCATCTTCGGCCGAATCAACTGATCTTGTGTCCAGGGCTTCTCTCCGAAACCAATATGTCGCTGATTGAGGAGTTGCCGATACATGAACTTGTGGTAAGCATACAATAATCACATGATTGTGTGGGCCACACCACGCTGACCCTCATTCATAGGTTACGAATACGATTCCGCAAAGGCAGCACGCAAATGGCTGCAAAAAGCTCGTCACCATCGACATCAGCCCTACTATCGCCGAGAGCATCCGTCGCACCCACAATGGCGAGAGCATCAGTCTTCTGTTTGGTGAATGGGCAGAAACCGGCAATATTGCGGTGCTCTGAGTGGGCCTTTATCAAAAATATAGTGGGTTTGTATTATTATCATATGCATTTTTATATCTGGACATCTGGACCTCCGATTCGACTACCACATACATACACACAACACATACGCATGCCGCTGTACGTAGACATTATAGACAATATTCAATCAGCAAGTTATCAAAAGATTGTGCAAGTCGAGTTCCAGCCGATAGACTGGTCACTGGGTGTGATCACAGCGATGTGTTTTCGATAACGCGGAACCGCCGCACACCTAGACAGATATCGCGTATCAGACGGTAGATCTGAGCAATCCCCTCAAGGCCTCGCCAAATCTGCTCGAATGCTTACGGCTCTCCCGCATACAAGTCAATCAAATAGATTTGTACGGACACACGAACTGTAGGACAATTATATATATAGGACTGGCGTCTTCTTTAATTGATTGAGATGGAGTAAGATGTGGTGGTGAGCTTGGCGCTTCCTGAAGTCGGACGAATACGAACGGAAAGAGGTTAGAAGCGTGTGCAACAAGCAAAAGAAAGAACGAACCGGTGAAGGGCTCTGTGCCTGCCTGGGCTTGGACAAGGTATTGCGACGAGGATACACCTTGGCTGAACGACAGGTACGCTGTGTGCAAATAATTTATATCCATCAACATCAAACCATTGCATGGATTTCGAGCTGTGCGTACTGAAGAATGGTTTCAAGTCCGAGTCATATGACGTGATCTCGTACGGAGCAACGAACGAGAACACAGTCCAGCTCGAGACGACGCCTTTGAACAGCTTCCAGTTAACACCGTTGATACTAAAAGGCAAAAATGTCAGTGTTCGAGCAGTCGAAAATTTGGCGATCGGAGTGTTCTTGCGATGATACGCCGGGCACCGAGTACTGAGTAATGAAGCTTAATCACTTACTTAACAGTGCCGATTTGCGACCCAGCAGGACCGGCGCTGTGGATCAGGTTAGAGCTCTAAACCATCATGCGCAACAGATCAAAAGGATGCACCCTCCACGTGTGCTCAGCCAGATCATGCTGGCGAAAAAATTCTGATGTCAGTCCTCTGAAATCGAGTGGGGGGGCCTGGTATGACTGACATTTCATAAGTGGAGCTAGACGAAGCGCCACCCGTGCCCGCAGTGTTCGAGGGCCACAAGTCGT